GCCTATTAAATATTAATAAGAATATTAAAGTCTTCATCTTAATGTAGGCTGCACCTGCTCTTCGTGCTCCCTGGCAGAGAATGCCTTAGGGCTCCTACTTCGAAACTTGGCTGCCCCTGCAACCTGTCCGGAACTTCTGTTGCCTGGGTCCCATGCCAGAGATTCTGAGGTTATTTTTTTTGTTTTGTTTTGTTTTGTTTTGTTTGGGGAGGGTCATACCTGGCAATGTTTAGGGGTTACTCCAGGCTCTGCATCAGGAATTACTCCTAGCACTGCTTGGGGGTCCATATGGGATGCCAGGGATCAAACTCATATGCCAGGCAAGTGCCCTTCCTGCTATACCATCTCTCCAGCCCCTGAGGCATTTGGGGGGATCTTACCTTGGTGACCCAGAGGAAAGCAATTCTGAAGATGTGGAACCAAATGGGCTTATTTTCAGTAGATATTGATTTGCTCGAAGTCATTATTTCCAAGAACTGAGGAACCACCTTGGGTGCAGAACATCTGTGTTTGTATTCAGGGAAGTTCTCCTTCTCTGCATTCCCCCATGCTGAAGGCAGCCAAGCCACAGGGTACCTGTTTTAGGCTGAAGATGCTCTTGCCTGTGCTCCAAGTCGCACATCCATGAGAAACTCCTCAAGGGCCATTGCATCTCATTCATCGGTGCGGTCCTTGGAGGCCCTTGTGCATCGCATCCGATCCATTGGATCTGAATAACAGATTCATTTCCAATTACTGCCAGAACAAATTACCACAAAATGAGAGGCTTGAAACAACACCGGTGAATTATCTTCAGTACCAGATGTCAGAATTCCAAAGTGGGTCTCCTAGGCCTGAAAGTCAAGGTGTCGGTGTTCCTTCGAGTCTCTGGAGAGAGCTGTTTCCCTGTCTTCTCCAGTATCGCTGAGCACTGGGCACTGCATCATCCACTGCTTCCATTACCTATCTCCTCTGACCCCCACCCTTGCCCCGTCCCATCAATCCCTCGTGATTACAGAGGCGTGTCCCACCTAATGATGCTGCAGTCCACCGCAGACCACGAGTGTGGATCCCACCGTGATCCCCACATTCCTCTTGCTTAGTGAATTCCCCGTCACTCTAATGCTCAGTTACTTCTCCCTCACAGCGGCCTCCCACGTTTGTTTCCTACATCCCTAGACAGCACCATCTCCACTTCTGCGTGATCTCACCCGCTGTTGTTCAGCTCATCAGAGCCCCACCGCACACACAATACACTGCTAATGTTGCCCCTAAAGAGGCCAGTTTGAATGACCTGGAAACCAAATTAAAAGTGATTAAGGACTACAAAAGTGGAAAATCAATGATGGCTTTTCCTTGCCAGTCAGGCATGTCCCATTTCACAGCAGCTACAGTCTTGAAGAGCAAAAACAAATGGCAGAAGCTATTAAAAGAACCCGCTTCCTTGAAATCAACAGGACTCGTGAAAATGCAAGAAAGACCTGCATCACCACGGAGGCCGCATCTGCTGACACCGGTGCCTGTCCTCTTCACCCCATGATGATCACGATGGAGAGCCAAAAAATGTCTCTGTGATATTGAAGGAAAAGGCGGGTCCTGTCCACCATGTTGAATGGACTGCCAGCTCTGTGACATCCACACAATGCAATCACCCTACCACCCACTTCTCAGATGAGTTCTAAGAGAGGCGGGAAGGATGGTTCAACGGGCTGAGCACATGCTTTTACGCAGGAAGCTCAGGTTCCATCACCGGCCTGCACCATCCCCCTGAGCACCAAGAGGTGCATTCCCTACCCTTAAAAAAATATATACAAAACCTGACTGTATTGGACCACTGGGTAATCTCTCCATCTCAAGACCATTAATCACATTTACCAAATCCCTCCAGCCTGTAGGTAATATCTTCGCAGGCCGGGAGAATTAAGGCACAGACCTCTGGGGGCGACTCTGTTCTACCCCCACTGTTGGTGTTACCGTCCCTCACAAGAATCCACTTGCCCTAGGATGTGTGGCTACTCATCACTGTCCCTTTCTCTCTTTTTGGCCAGGGATGAGGGGAGGCTCGGGATAATACTTGGCAGTGTTCAAGGGCTATTCCTGGTTCAGGTAAGAGATGGCTCCTGGAAGGGCTCAGGGTATGGTATCAGTGCTGGGAATGGAACCGGGATCAGTGGAATTGAATGCAAGGCAATTGTCTTACCACCTACTGTTTCTCTCCAGCCCCTTCTACTGTCCCTTCCTTCTCGCTGTTTTTAGTTTGGGTGGAGGGACATACCTGGCAGTGCTAAGGACTTACTCCTGGTTCTGTACTCAGAGATCATTCCTGGTGGTACTCAGGGGACCATATGGGATGCCGGGGATCAAGCCCAGGTCAGCACCGTGCAAGGCAAGCGGCCTCGCCACCACACTATCACCCTGTCCCCTTAGTGTCCCTTTCTTGGATTCACACTATCATGGAGGAGACTGATACAGCCTAGGGAAACATTAAAGAAATAGTTCGGCTCTTGGGAGGGACAGAAATGTAGAGCAGATACATATTTTTTGGTGATTCAGGGCAGTGATATTCAGAGCTGTAATTGGCTGTGGTGAGTTTTAAAGGGCAGACAGAGATGCTCTATCACTTTGGCACTCTGGCATGACCGGGGGCTGACCAAAGGCCCTGTCTTGTGGTTTCTTGTGTCCCACACACTCGCCCTTGCTCCCTGAGCTAGTTGTGCCAAAGGCTGGGAAGACAGCCAGCACCTCCCACCCCCACACACAGTCCCCAAACAGTTCCCTCACTCGGACAGAGCGTTGAGGCCTGGCAAGTTACACACCTGGCCCTGAGTCAACATCACGTGTCCAAGGGGCAAGGCGAGGGGGCAGGAGGGCCCCCAAAAGACAGGGCTTTAGAGCAGGGCTTCCTGTTTGCTGCTGGTTGGGCAGACAGAGATGCTCTGTCACTTTGGCACTCTGGTGGACCTTCGTTAAGGTGGTCTCCACTGAAAACACTCTCTGTGGAGGGACCAGCCTGATCCTGTTGGCTGTTCTGAGGTCTCCCCGACTCCCTTCAGCCAGGAAAGTCCCAGGATGCCTCTTTCCACCCTGTTCCTGTCTCACAAGGCAGTGAGGTCTCACCAGCCATCTCCGGCCCCACCGAGTGGCTCAAATCCCTGCTGCCGAGAACTCCCGAGCTTGGTCCCGGCCATCACCATGGTGACAGCCCACTGCTGCTTAGCACCTGCCAGGGACTGGGCCTGGAGCAATAGAGGCCAAGATCTGTGCCCCACCCCCCACCCCAACTCCTGGAGGCCTGGGTGTGAAGACCAGAGGCCTCCTGGGGAACCCCAGGGAGTCTCTGCTGGATTTACTGTCTCAGGGAAAAGCCAGGACCCTCATTAGGGCTGCAGATCTCTATCCCCTGGGCCAGGGTGGGGAGGTGGGGGGAGGTTTGTGAAGATACGATTTCTTTGCCAGGGTGGTCCTGGAGTTTGACACTGCTCTCTGCCCAGCCGCCCTGGTGGGCCCCTTCAATCTCACTCCTGACACCAACTGCCAGTCTAGAGAGGGGCGTCACAAGCCTACTCTGGCTGGTCTTGAGGTAGCTAGAGCAGAAATCAGAACCCTGGGGGCCGGAGAGATTGTGTAGCAGGTAAGATACTTCCATGGTATGTGCCCGACCTGGGTGTGATCCCCAGCACCCCATATGGTCCCCTGAGCCCTGCCAGGAGTGAGTCCTGAGCACCCCTGGGTGTGGCCCAACAACAACAAAGCACTGTAGCACTGTCTTCCCATTGTTCATCGATTTGCTTGAGCGGGCACCAGTAACATCTTAAAAAAATTGTGAGACTTGTTGTTCTTTTTTGCATATCGAATATATCATGGGTAGCTTGCCAGGCTTTGCCATGCGGGCGAGATACAACAACAAAAACAAAAAACCCTAAAAAGCAGAAATCAGAACTTGGGGCGCGGAGGTAGCACCGTGGGCTGGAGCACATGCTTTGCATGTGGGAGCCCCCAGTTTGATCCCCAGGACCAATGTGTCCGCCCCCCACACTCCCGCCCCATGCCAGAACCATCTTGAGTGGCCTCCAAGCAGCAGTGGGGATATTTCACAACTTCCCTGCTCAAAACAACAACACAGAAGAATTCCAAGCTTCTCGGAATCTCTGTGCTACCCTGAGGAGCTCTGAGTAATGCTAGATAATGTTTATCAGCAAGCATCCTGCTAAAGCTACCAATGGTGACGTTAATGCTGTCAGTAATGGCATGAGATGGAATTTTTGTTCCCACTGTCAGACACAGAAACTGAGGCTCAGCACTTTGCCTGGTTGGCCTGGCTCTGAAGCCCATCTCCTTTTTAATTTACTATTTGGTGTGTTGGTCATGCCCTCCTGCGCTCAGGGTTTATCCCTGGCTGTGAGCTCAGGGATCATTCCTGGTGGAACTCAGGGACCACATGGGATACCAGGGATCGAACCTGGGTCAGCTACGTGCAAGGCAAGCACCCTACCCACTGTAGTGTCACTCCAACCCCCAAAACACATGTTCTTAAGCACTGTCTTTTTTTTTTTCTTTTTTGGGTCACACCCGGCAATGCACAGGGGTTACTCCTGGCTTCAAACTTAGGAATTACTCCTGGCGGTGCTCAGGGGACCACATGGGATGCTGGGAATACAACCCTGGTGGGCCATGTGCAAGGCAAACGCCCTACCCGCTGTACTATCGTTCCAGCCCCCTTTCAGCACTGTTTTATCACATCATTTTCTGCTGCAGAGCACATGCTAGCCCTGTTTTCCCTTGTCTCCTGTGTCTGCATAATGGGCGCATCCTGGGTATTGTGAGGGGACTGGGCATGGGCGTGAAAGCCTTTCGTGGGGGTGAGGACAACCATTGACAGGATCATGGCGGGGGGCAGAGAAAGACACTTCTCTTAGTCCAGGGACTTCTGTCCCTTCACGCTCGGCTTGAAGGCTCCTCATGGCCACTAGGGCTGTCTCCTTCCAGGGTCTCAGGGGCTGTCCTTTCCCCTGTCTCCCCAGGTGATTTCCATGGTGATGGTGGCCGTGGGCGTCTACGCTCGGCTGATGAAGCATGCAGGTGAGTGACCGGCCCCTTCCCCCCATGGAGTCTGGCTCTTGGGCACTTCTTCCCACATAAGCTGTGGAGTTTAGGGGGCAGGTACCCTCCGGGCGATCTTCAAGGCTTCAGGCTAACGGTGTCAGTTCACCTGAACACCTCAGGCGCCCACGAGCCACCTGCCATCGCCTAAAATTTAGGTATGGGGGAAGAAGGTGGGTCGTCCGAGGTTCGATCTCCGCCTGGGTCTGTCCTGGAGTAAAACTCGGTCCCTACTCCCGCCCACCACAGAGTCTCGGGGGAGCAGACTCTGCCAAGCTGGCAAGCCTCAAACCCTTCCTGTTCTTTTCTGAATCAAGCAGCCCCTTCCTTCTCTGTATACCCCGGGGAATACTCTCATTCTGGGGCCGGTAGTAAGTGTGTAGGGCATTTGCTTTGTACATGGCCGAGCCGGGTTTGGGCCCCGGCATCCCATATGGTCCCCGGAGCACCGCCAGGAGTGATTCCTGAGTACAGAGCCAGGAGTAACCTCTGAGCATAGCTGGTGTGACCCAAAAAGCCCCCCCCCCAAGTTACCCCCCCAAAAGAAGACTCTCATTCTGCTCACTCTCAAGCTAGAAGCCGAAACCTGGGGCCAGGGAGACGGCTCAGCCGGCTGGAGCACAGGCCTTGTACACTGGAACCCCAAGTTCTAACCGTGACACCATCAGGTCCCTACCCTCCCGCCCCTCCCCCCCCCCCAGCCAGCATCTTCATCCAGCTCCACCAGAGGTTTCCCACCAGCCAGGGGAAGAACGGTTAGGGGAGGGGCTGGAGTGATAGCACAGCGGGTAGGGTGTTTGCCTTGCATGTGGCTGACCTGGGTTCAATTCCCAGCATCCCATATGGTCCCCTGAGTACTGCCAGGAGTGATTCCTGAGTGCAGAGCCAGGAGTAACCTCTGAGCATTGCCAGGTGTGATCCCAAAAAGCAAAAAAAAAAAAAAAAAAAAAAAGAACGGTTAGGGGAGGCACCCTCCCCCCAACCCCACCCCCAGTTCTTCCTGGAGTGCCACACTCAATGGGTTCCAGGGGAGACTGAGGCACAGCCCTTTCCCTAGAAGCAGCCTTGGCCTGCCTGGCGGTGGACCCCGCCATCCTGCTCATCGTGGTGGGCGTGCTCATGTTCCTGCTCACGTTCTGCGGCTGCATCGGATCCCTCCGCGAGAACATCTGTCTCCTGCAGACAGTGAGTGCCCCACGCCCACCTCTCCCTGACGCCCCTCAGATCCCTGTCCCGACTGACCCCCTCCCTACCGTCCACCGCAGTGCTGCCCCGTCCAGTCCTCCTGCAGCACTCAGCCCAGGATCCCAGACAACAGTGGCCGCTGCCATGTGTGGGATTCTGGGAGTGTCCCCCCCCCCCCCCCGCCCCTCCCATGACCTCTCCCTGCCCGGGGACAGACTGACCCTCTTCCTGTCTGCCCCCCACAGTTCTCCCTCTGCCTCACCATCGTGTTCCTGCTACAGCTGGCGGCCGGGGTCCTGGGCTTCGTCTTCTCGGACAAGGTAGCTTTGGACTTCAGAGGGGCTCATAGGGGTAGTGGAGGACCCCTGGGAAAACTTTCTGTGCGGGGCTTAATTGATGAACCCCAGCACCCCTTCCCGCCAAGAACCCCAGGCCTGGATGGGTGGCCGTACTGAGAGAGGATTTCAAGATTGGCAGGAGTTTTCTGCTGACCGGCTACAAGGCCCGCAAGAAAGGAGAGTCTGTGAGCACCCAGTGAAAAGGGTCTGCAGAGTTTCACGGCAGAGGATGGAGACAGTCATGGGGCAGACCGCAGCCAACTGAAGGGCCTTTACTTTCTTTTGAAATGTCACTGTGAGATACAGTTACAAAGCTTTCATGTTGGAGTTTGAGTCATACAGTGATCAAACACTCATCCCTCCACCAGTGCACATTCCCCACTACCAGTATCACCAGTATCCTCCCGCCCCCCCCCCCCACTCCAGCCTTCCCCCTGCCTCTATGGCAGAAAATTTCTCCCATACTCTCTCTCTCTACTTTTGGGCATAATGTTTTGCAATACAGATACTGAGAAGCCATCACATTTGGTTTTTTATCTACTTTCAGCACACATGTCCCATCCCGAACGATCCCTCCAACCATCTTTGACTTGGTGATCCCTTCTCTATCCCAGCTGCTTTCTCCCCCAGCTCATGAGACAGGCTCCCAACTATGGAGCAATATTCCTGGCCCCTTTTGTCTACTGTCCTTGAGTGTCAGTCTCCTATTATCTTATTTTATATTCCATAAATGAGTGCAGTCATTCTATGTCGAGGGACAGTTCTTTTTATTAAGACACAGAACGCTTTCTCCAAAGGAGAGAGGGTTGCCAGAGACAGCGGAGAGGCCAATGGATAGGAAACTTCCAGAAAAGTAGCCAAGCAGGAAGGAAGAGCATGTGGTAGACTAGGAAATGGAGAGCTGAGTCAAATCCTAAACTCCTGTCACTCTGATTTGAGACAAGGGGATGTGCTTGTATGTCCACTAGAGGTCAGTGCCTCAGCTCATTAGCCCTTTTCTACTTAAAAAAAAAAAAAGTGTCTGTATTTTGCAGCACCCAAGTATTTTGTTGTAATATTATTCAAAGAGAGAAACAATAATGGAATTATCTGAGCATATGGCTCTGAGAAGTGGCAAAACAGCAGGTTTGACATTCTCTCTTGCCCACCAGTCCTACAGGGCCTGGGCTTGATGAACTCTGGGACTGGCCATCTTGCCTCGTTGGGCCTCAGTTCTGCTTTTGGCTGATGTGAAGCAGGACCGGGGCTGGGCTCCTGTGGGCTCCCGTGTTCCTGTGGGAGGCGCACACCAGGGCTCATCCTCTTGGGCCCTGACGCCCTGCTCCTGTCTTGGCAGGCTCGAGGCAAAGTGAGTGAGATCATCAATAACGCCATCGTGCATTACCGAGATGACCTGGACCTGCAGAACCTCATCGATTTTGGCCAGAAGAAGGTATGGGCTAAGCATGGTGGTGGCCAGGGCCGTGACTAGCGATGTGAGAGGCTGTGGACAAATGCCTACTGGAATGAATTCTGGGAGTTGAGGTGACCAAGAAACACATAGAGCAGAGTGCTTCAAAAGTATTGTTTTAGGGGCTGGAGCGATAGCACGGCGGGTAGGGCGTTTGCCTTGCACGCGTCCGACCCAGGTTCAATCCTCCGGATCCCAAAGTATTGTTTTAGGGTACAGAAAGGCATGTGTAGAAGCCTTACAGTGTGTGGGGGAAAAGAGGGAGGAGAGAGGCCTGAGAAATGGTACAGTGAGTGGGGGGCTTGCCTTGCATGTGACCAACCCTGGTTTGATCCCTGGCACCATGTACAGTCCCTGAACCCTGCTCAGAGTGATCCCTGAGTGTAGAGCCAGGGTAAGCCCTGAGCACTGCTGGCTGTGCACCCCTCGCAAAAATAAAATAAAAAGAGGAATTCCTGTTATTCGTCGATTGCCTCGAGCAGGCCCCAGTAACGTCTCCTTCATCCTAGCCCTGAGATTATATTCAAGGCTCTTTAGGAGAATGAGACCCATCATTGTTACTGGTATTTGGCATATTGGGTACGCCACGGGGAGTTTGCCAGACTCTGCCGTGTGGGCAGGCTACATTCGGTAGCCTGCCAGTTTGTCAAAGTAGGAATGAGATGTCATAATAAGATGTCGCGTGGCTGCGTGGTTCCGGGAGCTGGAAAAAGAGGAAAGTTCAGACAAGAGATGGAGCACTGTGCCACAGCACCTCTCTCATGTGTAAGGCCCTGGGTTGGATCCCCAGCACCAAAACAGAACACATATTTTTAAAATTTTTTTATTAGTGAAATACCATGAGGTACAGTTGTAGATTTACAAATTTTTGTGCTTGGGTCAGAACACATATTTTTACTTGCAAAAAACTCTGGAAGGATGTGAAAGCCATGCAAGTGATTGCTTCCATGGGGGAGGGGAGTGTGATTGTTTTGTTCGCTTGGGAAAGTCACACCTTACTGTGCTGAGGGTCTACCTCCAGTTGCATGCTCAGGGATCACACCCAGCAGTGCTTAGGGGCAGAAGCAGTACCAGGCATTGAACCCAGGGCCACACACATGTAAGACAAGGGCTCCACTGCTGAGCCACATTCCCATCCCAAGGGCAGATTTTTAAAAAAATATTACCTATTAAAAAGTTAAAAATTTTAAATTGCAATAAAATGTAAATAGCTTAAATTTATCATTTTGATCCTTTTTTGCTTGTTATTTTTATGGAGGAGCACCCTGCAGTGCTCAGGGGTAATTCCTGACTCTGCACTAAGGAATTACTCCCAGAAGTGCTCAGAGGACCATATGGAATGCTGGAGATGGAGCCCAGGTCAGCCACATGCAAGGCAAATGCCGATCCCTGCTATACTATCACTCTGACCTGACCCCTTTATTATTTTTTTTTAATGCAATTCAGGAATTGAACCCAGATCTTCACACATGCCAGGCATGTGCGCTACCTCTGAGCCACATCCCCCGAGCATAATATTTCTTCCTTTTTTAGACTGACTAGTAATTTGTTCTGTTTATATCCATTCATCTTTCCTTGGACAGCTGGGTTGCTGCCACCTTTCGGCCGTTGTGAATAATGCTGCTCTGAGTCAAACGTTTGATTGTAGGTCAACATGCCTTTGAGTTTTGTGCTGATTTCCCTTCCCCTTGTCGTGACAGGCATTTGACCTTGATCCTGTCCACTTTCATTAGGTATTTTGTATCTAAGACATTGAAGAGTGACATCCCATGTTCATCTAAATTGAGACAAAGATTTTCAGCATTGATCTTTTAACTTTTTCAGTAAGCAGTTTTGAACATCCCCTTTTGCCAGGCTCTGTGTCTTGTATTTTTTTTAATTTGTTCATTGCTTTGATTTTGTGGGCCACAATCAACTGTACTCAGGGTGTACTCCCGACTCTGGGCTCAGGGATCACTCCTGGCAGGGCTCAGAGGACCATATGTAGTGCCAGGGACCGAACCCAGATCAGTATGTGCGAGGCAAGGGCCCTACACACTATCCTGTTTCCCCAGCCCCAAGGCTCTGGGGTTTTTGCATGCCTGTCAAATCAGAAACTACCCTCAAAGAACCCATAGTTGATGTGAAGAAACATGTATTCAGCCACTGCAGGTTATAACATGATATATAATGCAATAGAAAAGAAGCAGAGACAAGGAGAAGACCCCTGGGAAAATCCAGTTCAATTTCCAGGCTGGGCTTAAACACAGAACAGACACGTAAAAGCTTGTCGTAGACATCGGGCTGCGTGTGGACGTCGGAGAGTGTGGCTCCATCTTAACCTGGTGGGGCCTTTGTTTCAGTTCAGCTGCTGTGGAGGGATTTCCTACAAGGACTGGTCCCAGAACATGTACTTCAACTGTTCAGAAGATAACCCCAGCCGTGAGCGCTGCTCTGTGCCTTATTCCTGTTGTTTGCCTACCCCGAACCAGGTAAGTGCCCCTCGTGTCCACGCAGGCAGTGAGCTGTGTTCCCTTCTGACCAGGGAATTAGTTTCTTTCTACTATTGGGAATCCCCAATTTCCTCACTTAGTCACTCTCTCTCCCCACTTTCTTTTTTTCTCTTTCTCTCACCCTTCTTTCCTCCCTCCCTTCTCTTCTTCCTCCCTCCTTCCTCCCTCCCTTCCTTCTCTTCTTCCTCCCTCCTTCCTCCCTCCCTCTCCTTTCCTTCCTTCCCTCCTTCCTCCTTCCCTCCCTCCCTCCTTTCCCTCCCTCCTTTCCCTCCCTCCCTTCCTTCCTTCCTTCTTTCCTTCCTTTCTTCCTCCCTCCTTCCTCCCTCCCTCTCTCTCCTTTCCTTCCTTCCTTCCACTCTTTCTTCCTTCCTTTCTTCCTCCCTCCTTCCTCCCTCTCTCTTTCTTTCCTTCCCTCCTTCCCTCCCTCCCTTCCTTCCTTCCTTCCTTCCTTCCCTTCCCTTCCCTTCCCTTCCTTTCTCCCTTCCTTCCATATGGGGATCAGGCCACACCCAGAGATGCTCACAGACTATTCCTGGCTCTGTGCTCAAGAGTGACCCTTGGCAGTGCTCAGACTCAAACAGGGCGGGCAGGATGCAAGCCAGTGCTTTCCCCCATGTACTCTCTCCAGGCCCCACTCAACCAATCGATTCTGCAGGCCAGGCAGGCTGTGAGAGGTTCCCTTCATTTCAATCCGAGATTTCTCCACCTTTGATCCCATAGCCTGCTGGAGGGTCAGCAGGGGTCGAGCTCTAAAACAGATCTCACAGGGAAAGGAGCCTGCAGTGATCAGCCCCCACACTGAGACCCTTCCCAGACCTTCTCTAAAGTCAGGAGTTTAGGAAGGGCGGGAGGGCCATCAACAAGGGCCCCCAAGGAAAAGTTTGGGAAAGTGAGTCTCAGTTGGCTTTAAACCTTCTCCTGCAGGCAGTGATCAACACCATGTGCGGCCAAGGTATGCAGGCCCTTGACTACTTGGAAGCCAGCAAGGTCATCTACACCAATGGCTGCATTGACAAACTGGTCAACTGGATCCACAGCAACCTCTTCTTACTTGGCGGTGTGGCCCTGGGCCTGGCCATCCCCCAGGTAACCTATCCCGTCAGACTTATGGGTCCCACTGATCTGCAAAGACGCCTTTGTTTGGGTGGTGGGATGGCACCCCCAGGTGGGTGGCCTGCTTAGGAGCAGGGAGAGGGGTGGTGCTGGCCACATGGGTGGAAACCTGAGTCAGGACGGCAAGCCTGAAGGCCCAATTCCTTCTCACTTCTCCCAGCTGGTGGGAATCCTGTTGTCCCAGATCCTCATCAATCAGATCAAGGACCAGATCAAGCTCCAGCTCTACAACCAGCAGCACCGGGCTGACCCGTGGTACTGAGAAGCCGAGGAATCTCATCCACCCATCAGAGAGGAACTTCCCAGCTCTGGGCTCATGGCACCCATGGAGATGGGGTTCCAGCCACGCAGAGACAGTGCCGTGGGAAGAAACGAACTCCAGACGGGTGGGCAGTAGGCAGGGTGCGCAGGTGGCCGGCGCCGGTGTGTGGGGAGGACGGCCCTCCTCGCCCCGTCCTAGCCCTCTGCATTGTTAAGAGTTCTTTTTATATTGTTTGCAGTTGGGTCTGTGTTTTGTTTCGTGTTAAGTTTGGTTCTGGGCAGTGCTGTTTGGGAAACAGCAGGTGCGGGGCTCCTGGAAATACTCAGCTGTTGCTTTTTTGTCAAGACCCCGGCAACCAACAACTCCTGGGTTTGACTGGCGTGCTGGCGGATGCCGCCTGCTGCCAGCCAGCCCTGCCTGAAGCCGGGTGGGCACAGAGGCAGCTTGAGGGGGTAAGGCTGCACGCTGGGGGGCTGTGAGCACCCCGGGTGGGGGAGGAAGGGGGAAGGCTGCTTACTGCTCTGCCATCCCCGAGGTAGTGAGCCTGCAGCTACATCCCCAGGCTCCTTCATTGCCATGGAAACATGGCAGCCAAATTCATCGTCCCCCCCCCCCCCACCTCCCTTTTGAAAAACACTCAGAACCATGGTCTCTCTATGCCACTGCCAGCAGAGGTGGGACTGGGCCATACTGCCCTTGAATTCCTTCCCTGTCTGGCCGTCCCTCTCCAGCAAGTGGGCTTTCCTTAGCCTTTCCTGGGCCGTGGCTGCCAGCTGGTACTTCCCAGCCTCCACCTCAGCCCCGACCACCCCACCCCCCGTTACTCCCTCTGCACCCGCCGCAGTATTTCTAGAGAATTGGAAGCAGGGGTCTGGCTGGAGCTGGAACATATGCCTCCTACGCAGGCGGTCCGGGTTCATTCCGCCGGAACAAGGTCCCCTGAGCATCCCAGGAGGGACCAGGGAGCGAGCGATGAGCCAGGAGTAAGCGCCTAAGCACCTCCAGGTGTGGCCCCCGCGCCCCTCCCCCCGCAAAAAAAAAAAAGATATTTTTTAAAAAGCAGGGATTTTGCCTGGGACTGGGGGGAGCCAGAAATGGCAATAAAAGTTTGTTGACCTGGGCTAAGGTAGACTCCATGAATTTTCCATTCTGGCAACTAGTAGGAGAAGGAGGCGGGGCAGGTGCAGCCGGGCCCAGCCCGCGGGTCCTCCTCCCCGCCCCCCTCCCCCCACCCAGGGCCTGGAGAACCCCGGGAGTCGCCCCAGTGGTCTCGAGCTGACGCTGCGCTACCTCCTCCCGCAGCCCTCGGGTCTAGATTGAGAGGCCCAGTTCTGATCAGGGAACGGCGTCCGCCCCTCCCGATCAGATGGAACTTGATTTTTTGTTGCCGAAGTACAGCGAATTTAAAACAAAAAACAAATGTGCCACCCCAAAACTTTTTTGGATGGGAGTTTGGGGACGACTGGCCTGGGAAATTCGCTGCAGGGGAAGGAACAAGGAGGAGACCATCCTCGCCACCCGCTCAGAAGAAACCGGGAACCCGTTGGCCATCTGGCTCCCAAACTTGGGGCGCGGGAGCAGGGTTCGCGCGCGCGGGGCGGAGCGCGCCGGGACTGCGGGGGCGTGTCGGGGCGCGTCGGGGGCGGGGCCTGGGCGGGGCCGCGCGGCGCCCTGGGTGGTCCCCGCCCCCGCCGCAGCCCGGCCCGCGCCTGCACCGCCCTGGCCCAGAAACGCTGGGGGCTGGGCGGCCGCGCCCCGTTTATCCGCCAGTGCCGCCTGGGGTCTTTTTGCCTTGCCCCCACCCCCGCGCCGACCCCTAGGTGGGGTCCGGCCAGGGAGCCTGGAAGGACTCGCTGCTCACTGGGGAGACGCATTTTGGTCCGCCCCCGCGCCCGGTGTCTCCGAAGCCAGCCTCCCGCTCCAGCAGCCTGGGGCCCGCAGCCAAAGTTTCGTTCCCGCTACTCACAGAACAGAAAGAAAGGGGGGGGAAAATCACGAATTATAAAAAGAAAGTAATAAAGGCTTTTAATTTTTTTTTCTGAGCCAGAAAGGTAAAAAGGGGCACACTTTTTCTCCCCTTCCAAGCTCCAAAGACATGCATATACAAAGACATTGTATATTTTGGGGGTTTTATTTATTTATTTATTTATTTATTTATTTATTTATTTATTTATTGGACCCAGAAACCCACATTCCGAGTTAGGAGTTGGGGTGATGAAACCCCTTCCTGAGTAGCGAGTGTTCGGAGGAGCTCTCCCAGTAAGGGGGCTCATTTGGTGGTGCCTCTTAGGAAGAAGCCGGTGGTTCAATGAACCAGGATTCAAATTCAGATTTCTTTAACTCCCGATTACACCGCCGTTACCAGGGCTCAACTGTCTTTGGGAATCTAGTCTTCCGGGCTTGGACGAAAGGGCATGGAATTTCTGCCAGAGTCCAGAGCAAAATGTTGAGTTTAGAATGCTGCCCACAATTCCTACCTAAATTCTTTTCTCTGTGTCTTTGGTTCTAACCTCTAGCTTGCTTTCTCTTTGGCCTGATGCTGAGAGTGAAGAAAAAAAAAAGGGAGGGGATAGTTTCTATTTTTATAAAGTTTCTCCATGTTTTTTCTTATTTCAATTTAACTTGTTCCCAAAGTTCTGTTTCTAATAACCTGGGCCTTAAGCTAGTGGGGTTAACAACAATTGCTTAGAAACACCTTAGGTGATAGTTGATGTATGGAAGAAGATTCTCCACGCAGCAGCAATCACACTAGAGGGGCAGAAGCAGAGAGGAAAGGCCTGAAGGATGGTGAGAATCTGACTGGTTTGGCACTACTGGTACTAGCAGGTTCCTATGGCCTCTGCCCTACATTTCAGTAAAACCTGGAGTCCAAGAGTATGCGTCTGATGGAATGTCCAGAGAATTCTGACCCTCTGTGTTCATTTTTTTGTTCTCTGCTGTGAAACATGACCACTTGAGTTTAGCAACCCTTTACATGCACATCTGTCATCTTATACTTCTGCAAGTTGAACGTCTGAAAAGGGTGTGATGGGATGAAACTCAAGATATGAGCAGGGGTGCAGTCTTTCTGGGTGCTGAGGGAATCCACACTCTGCTTCTAAGAAGAGACTTGTAGTCCTTCATCCTGGCCTCTTCCTGTTGTCAGCACATCACTTCACGCACCACTGCTGTGGTCATAAATCCTTTCGCTCTGACTCTTGGAGGACACTTGACCTGATCAAGGGACCACCTAGATTTCCCAGGATTGTTTTCCCATTTTAAGTTTTTTCATTTGACCACATCTATAAAGTCCTTCTGTCCTGTAAGGGAACATAAACACAAGTTCCAGGGACTGGTATAGGCACTTTTCTTTTGTTTGGGGTCTGTACCCAGCGATGCTGAGGATCCTGGTTCTGCACTCAGGAATTACTCCAGGGATCAAACCTGGGTCTGCTGCATGCAGGGCAAACACCCTATTTGCTGCACTATCACTCCAGACCCTCGGCACATTTTTTTAATGGGATAAGCTTCTGGATAAGCTAATGTTGCATCCTGGCAAGAGTTTGAGGTAGGTTATTGGTCTTTATTTAAATAACCACCCAAAATTTATTGTGTGCTTACCGTGTACCATGCACATCTTCATTACCAACGTTCCTGGGCAAGTCCTTTGCTATATTCTGACTTTTCATTCTGAAGAACATCTATGTTAACAGAGCCTTCCCAAAGAGGAACAGACCATTTTTTCCCCCACAAGAGTTCTTCTGGCCCATTCTTAAAAAAGGAGGGAAATTTAGAAACATTTTGCAAACCTTCTGCCCATCCATCCCCTCCAATAAGTCAAGAGTAATCAAATATTCCAGTTGTCCTAAGTAAAATAGAGAGGATAAAGTGAGGGTACCCAACATGAATTCTAGAATTCATGTTGGAAATTAAGCCTCTAGAGACTTATCAGTACGCACCAGGAACCTAGTAAGTCACTCAGAAAAATGCAATAGCATAGAGATTCCAGATTTATTTTCATTTATCAGTACTTACTGATGGAGAAATAACACAGTGAAGAGAGGAAGGGGTAATCACAAATATCCTTGTGAGGACACACAGACCCCACTGTTCAAAAGAAATAGCTGCACAGTATATGACAATACATTCTAGAAGGTTTAAGTGAAATATTTTAAAGCAGAAACAACAACCAAGTGAGAATCAGAATATCAAATTTGTCCTCACTGGAGGGCACCAAACTGTAATGATCAGCTTTTCCATGTATCTGCCCTACTCACAGGGATTTTTCCTACTTTGTAACTGGCCAATCCTACTCAAACCATAGGAATGAGTCTGGGGACCATGTGTGTGTGTGCTAAGATTGGTCCTCTAGAGAAGTCTTTGTTGCTTGGGCACTAGATCAGTATCGTTCAGCTGATGTTAGAACCACAAACAGGGTGGGCTTTAAACAACAGAAGGTGGGGCCAGAGAGATCATACAGGTTAAGGCACTTGTCTTGTTGGCTGCCAATCGCAATTTAATTTCTGGTACCATATATGGTCCCCAGCACAGCACCAGGAGTGGGAGTGAATCAAACCCTGAACAGAGAACCAGGAGTAAGCCTTGAGCACAGCCAGGTATGGGCCAAAAAAAAAAAAAAGGAAATGTCTGGTCTCCCCAGAGACCTTAACCCCATTCCCCAAATCAATGTGCAGGCAGAGTCACAGTCCCTCCAATGCCTCTGAAGAGTCTTCCTGGCCTCTCCCAGCTTGGGGGAGCCACAGGCATTCCTCAACTTACCAGCACTTCAGGGCAGCCTCCATGTACTGATCTTCCTTTCATGTATAGGTCCCAGTTTCCTCTTATAAATAATCTGGTCTTTACTAATTTCATCTACAACTGCCCTTGTGCCAAATGAGTTCAAGTTTTGAGCTACCAGGGAGGTACGGCCTTAAACTATATTTCTTCTTTGAGGGGTGGCAAATGGAGAGGAGAAAGATGTAGTTGAATATACAGCAAGTAACTAACCCAAACTCTGGCCACCAGAGTGCCTTCCCTGAAGCTTTGGGAT